TGTCATAGTTGAGAGATCATAGTTGAGTGATCTTGGGCTCGTTAGTTTCGTCTTATCAAGACGCTCGATTCAGTTATAACATTGTTAAATTTGGCATATATTTGACCTTCCAAATATGTTCAGAAATCTTCAAAGAATAGTTTAATGACTTTATCTGGGCTTGATTTGACTCGGATTAGACTAACTTTGATATCATTGGGTCTGTCTCATTGAGCCTGTAAGTTTGACTATAAGTTTATTGAAATCAGAGCTCTGGATGACTGTTTATCAAAGTTTGAATATTTCTTACTAAAAATTTTACCACGAGATTTATGTTTATTGTATCAATAATGAAACACACTTTTGTCCTTACGGTTCTAGGCAATTAATTGCAAGAGAAAGGAGCCCTTTTCGAACCATCATTATTATAAATTTAGGGTTTATTTGTGATAATAGTTATTCTTATTATTAATTGAGATGCCATCAGCAAATTTCTGTGAAGAGGCATAAATCTCAAGTTATTTAGCACAAATTTTGGAGTATATTTTGAATAAGAAATATTCAATTTTTTATTAAAAGTCATCTATAACTCTAATTTCGGCAAACTAATAGTCAAACAGGCTCGACGAGACTAACTCAATGACATCAAAAATGATCCAATACGAGTCATATAAAACCCATACCAAATTCTTAAACTTATTTTAAAAAATATCGATCACAATATAATGCTTAAAAATTAATTGATAATATCAAAATTAGTCACACACTTCTCAGTAATATTTAGTCATGGTATCACTCTTATAAATTAAATCAATAATATATAAATTTTTATGTAATTTCTTAGATTAAAAAAGACATAAATTTAAAACACTTAAAATTTTCTTAAAAGCCATATAAACTTCCCTGTGGAGTAATTAATTGTTTAAATGGTGACATAGGAAAGTCAATTGGTTCAAGCATGTTTGTCCAATGCAGTATCGCGAGACGTAAAGGATGAAATATAAAATTGGGTTGTAGTTCATATAATACGAAGCCTGAGCAGAATCGAAGTAGACAAGTCTGATGGTATGGATTATCATGTTGTTAAAAAATAACGATATGCATACTGACAAATCAGAGTTCTCTTTCTTCTGCCTCCAAAAACTACTCATCGAGTTTGGTGGTGTAGCTAAGTAGTTGCCGACAAGTTTGATAAGAATGTCCAACTAATTCACGCGAGTTTCGAATAAGAACTAGAGAAATGTGAGCAAGCTAAAGAACTCGCTTGAAGATTAATGATTGATCAAAATTCTATTATGAGGAATTCACATGAATATTGGTGTGCTTTAGCGGTACTCATGTGGTTCTTTTGGGTATTTGGGAACTATGTTATCTATCACTTGCAAAAGTATAGCTATTGAATAAGATTGATCTCATCAGCCACAAACTATATGGTGGCCCATTTAGTACTTGGGTTTTACTGTTAAATAAACTCATTTTCGACTATACAATGTATGTATATATATATATATATATATAAGAAATGACTAGAAATGAATGAAAGAAAATAATGAAACTTGCCAAATTTAGAAGGAATCTAAAACAGGGCCGCTCGGTTCGGCTCTGTGCCGATCACATGAGCCAACTGCGCGCACTGTCACGTATACTGCGAAGTTCTTAGGATGCAGACTACGGTTCTAGCATTGGGAGGTAACTATTGACAATATATAATCATCTCTCTGAATGCCACATATACGAGTAGTTGTAATGTGGGCTCAACTTGATAAATAAGCCTGATGAGCTAATGAGACAATTTTGAGTCCACTTGTCTGACTTATTAGCAAACGAGACTATAAAAATATCAACATTATATATATAATTTTATATTAAATATTTTTTTATTTATTTAAAAATTAATTGTTGATAATTTCATTATAATACTAGCTTGAATAATAGTTTTATCGCTCTTCAACAATGAACAAGTATGCTAGTGATTATGGCTCAAACTCGTAGAATTAAGTCTAAACTTAATTAGTTAACCAAGTTCAAGCTAAGAATGACTCAAACTCGATTGAACGCATCTACGCGATTAAAAAAGTCTATATGTTCCAACACGAGCATTGAATAGTTCTCCAATAACATTATTAGTCGAACCTCATAATACTGATATGATTATCATAATAGATGAAATTAACTGGTTAGTTATTTGATTTGATACATTACAAATATAGAACATATATTTCTTGAATTTTGATGAGAAATAAAATGAATGTAAACTATTTTGATAAGAAAATTATAATATTAAAATTCTTTTGTAATAAAAAATCTACATTCATTTGATTTAAACATTCTCTAAATTCATCTTGTAAGATCTGAAATTTTATGCAGGTAACTTTAACTTGTTGGTCACGTGAGTTCAAAGTCTCGTTGCTCTAGGGTTCTCAAAAGTCTAAAATAAAAACTAAAAAAATAAAAATAAAATAAAATAAACTTAAATTCTACCAAGACAACATGACCATGCAACTACCATATCATCTTTGGGTCCCATCGGCTCCATGATTGCATCTCACAACCTCATTTGTTGCCCACTCTTTCACCACCAACTCACTTTGTGACCCCGCCGTTCATGCGCCAACACGGCCAACCTTATCCCTGTGACCAATCATCATCCCGCGTGTGTAATAAATTAAGAAATTTACATATACGCCACACAATTTCAATATATTTACATGCCAAACACCTTAATTTGCTATTTGTATTGATGCTATCTTATTATCATAATCTATGCATAAAAATAATATGTTTTTCACTTTTGAAAATTAATGATAATGATGTTTTTAATATAATATTAAGGATTTAAGTGTTATGCATGTGATTGAAAAGTTTAAATGTTAGTTTTGTTAGTACATAAGAATTATGTAATATGTGGGTATATGTCCTAGTTTCAAATAAAAATATGACAATTAACATATTATATATATCTGATACAAGTTAAATATTTATGTCATTCAGTGGACCATAAAATTATGATTACATAGAAATCAATATATAAATTGATTAAACCTTAAAAATAGTAGTAATTCAAATATTTTATTTATATTTAAGAAGATAATAAGAGAAGTATCACATTTTCTATGTCAATGATGAAGAGGGAATATAACTAGAAGTGCTTCTTATTTTGGTTTAATTCTTAAGCCTCCTCCTCTCTCTCTATCTCTCTCTCAACAATGAGATTTGGTAACATTAAATTATGTTGACGGCCAAAAATATAATTTGATTAAAGCTAATAATATTTATTTAGGCATTTGTAGATATATACTAATATTTTAAGTACTAAAAAGGAAAACAAGCTTTAATAATATGGAAATTAAACTTTGAAGAAAATACATAACTCAAACAAACCTACAAATAAAGTGTTTGAGTTAGATAATGGAAAAATTAACTTCGCTTAGAACACAATTTAACCAATTTAAAGTTAGAAGAGAAGCGTTCAAGGTTGTAGTGTAAGAAGTATATTTTACTATTTAATTAGGCTCAATTTCAAATAAATTTGTGCTATAATTATTAATAAAATGAGATATAATAATCAATCAAAGTTACTTTATGTAGATTATATTATATAATGTTTACATATTGTATGATAATTAGAAGTAAAATTAATTTATATTAACCAAAATAATTTAGAATTTAATTCCATTATACCATACATTAAATATCATGTTATTTGAGTAATATTATTCTCTGCCCCCAATCAATAGTCTAACTTAAAAATAGATAACGCTTAATTTAAATAAAACTGTTGAATTCAAATTTAACATGTAGATCATGCCCAAAGAATCGAGCGTAGAAACAGAGAGAAAGGGAGAATGAGAGAGTGATAGGAGTGATGCAGCGATTGCCACCAACAGGGAAATGAGGGGGTATTTTCCTGGGCTATTGGACTCATTGTATATATTGAAAGAATTTGTACAAGAGAAGAGGTGGGCAAACTCTAAATGGTTGGAAATCCCAAATGGCCTCTGTCTCCTACATGAGAGAAGAACCTCCTATTTATAGCCAACAGGGAAGTAAAAGTACAAAAATTATATCATTGCCCTTAGGAGTTACAAGTTATAATTGTCCATGGGAGTTACAAGTTATTAATGTATCTGGGAGTTGCAAGTTATTATTTTCTTTATTGGCACCTTTTTGTATATCTGATACCTTTTCGTTTTTTGGTCTATCTAACAATGTGGTTGGTCTGTTGGCTGGACTGGACGATTGAATGAGTCCAATCGGTCTCTGCTACTGTCGGCTCTCATCATGATAGGTTTCTACCGAAATTGATGGAATAGACACATTTGAATCAATTTGTATAGACTACTCTGTACAATGTAGATTATTGTACCTAAAAAATGTGTCAGCACAAATCTTAAAGAGATCTAATGGTCAACAAAAATAATGACATTGTAGATCAGGACCCACCAGAAGCAGTTTAAATGACTCTGACAATCTGGTTGGCAGTTGCAAGCTGTGAAGAAAATAATCCAAAGATGAACAAAATTCAGGCGTCTCTCATAAAGTCTACTAGCGCAAAGCTCACGATAATGTATCTGCCGACAATCTTCAACCAAGCAGGATGAACGATAAAATTTGTCTTGATCTATATAATTGGCTAGGGTCTCTTCGTCTGCCCATCAGTCATAGCCACCCAATAAATGGCTCAACCGATCGCTCTCCGAAACTCCCGGTACACGCGTTTCCAGCCGAAGTCCCGTCGAGTCGGGCGGCTCCGAAGTGCTCGCCAGCTCAATCGGGTCAAGTACAGGATAAAATGGCCTCTTTCAAGTAGTCCTCTCGAACCCCAAATCAAAGGCAGTCCCGCCAGTGCCACGTTCCATGTGGGGGTGGGAACAATATTTTTTTATTGCAACATAATCTGAAAATTTTTAAATTACATTAAAATAAATTGACTACGTAAGAAAAGAACAACGCACGGTAAAATTTGTTTCCATTATTTTTTGTTAAATAAGAGCATTGTTGAGAAGGACTTGAAAGCAGATCCGATCTGAAACCAAACACCAAAGCATCACATGCTTCCGATTACAAATACGTAGCGAATCTCGATACCAGAAAAGCATCCATCCATAAGCTCCGGCAGCCCCCATGGACAGCCTTGCCGCTGCTGCCCTCACATCTGCAGCCCAAGCACCCGACCGCTCTGAACGCGGCCTTACGGAGATTCCGGATGGCGGAACTCCGACTATTATCGACTTCATCCCGCCGCCCCGCAAGGGACCGCTTCGCGTCCGCCGAGCCGCCCACAACGTCGACGCGGAGTACCTGAAGAAGTACGTAAAGGGCATAGAGCTTATGAAAGCTCTTCCGGCCGACGACCCCCTCAGCTTCACGCGGCAGATGGACCTTTACCATGCCTACCGCGACGGCGCTTACCACCAAGTCGGCCTTCCCAAACTGGACTTGCAGGTAGTGTTCTGGATTGAGTTTTATTTAAAAATATGTTCAGAATTAACTGATTTTGAGCTGTGAAATAGAAATTTCAAATTCTAATTAATTGAGTATATATTTTATCTATTTCAAAATTAACTAGAGAACTATGAAGTCTATTCCAATTAAAATTTTATCAAGACAGTCTTATCTAATTTTTCCCCTATAATTAGAGGTTTCATACATACGAGAAAAATAGAATAACTGGTTGAATTTCATTCATGTTAGTATTCTAAACTTGGCAAGCATCTAATGTATATATTGCAAGGCATTTATCTTTATTTTTGTTTGATTTAAATGTGATACAGCGTCCTTGCTTTAAAATGTGAAGTACATGATATTTTAGTATTTTGTATTAGTTGTTCTTCGGAGAGAAAAGTCATCCATTTGAGTCATCTGTCGGTGGGAAAAGTTTTTGTTTGAGTGCTCCATCGGGGCAGATTATTTTGAGATATGACAATTTTTTTAATAAATTGAAAAAATAAAAATACGAATTAAATTAGCCAACATAAAATAATAAAATTTTATTTAAAATATACATGAGATTCTTAACATATTATTTTCTTACGAATACAATCGCCAATCAAATATTCATAATCGTACTTCTGAAAAAGGTTGTCAGATTAATATGTTGTTATTTGAAAAAATTGAAGGGGGCATGCGTTAAAATTTTAATATTTAATAAAATGTTATGAGATTTTAGTGAGCATAATAATAGGAAGTCCAATTAAATCCTATATAAGAGTTAAACATAATTAAATAATAAATAACATAATTTGAACGACACTGTACTGATCTCCCTCCTTCACTGTTCACACACATACAGGGGCCCAACTCACGGTTCTTTTTCCCCTGGCACCGCTGCTACCTCTACTTTTTTGAGCGCATCCTCAGCAACCTCATCGGTGACGATGAGTTCTCCCTTCCCTTCTGGAGCAGGGACGACCCCGAAAGAAAGGTGGTGCCTGATTTCTACAAGAAGAACCGCGACCCGAACAACCAAAAGCAGAAGCCGATAATCCACAATCGGAGCCACGATTCGAACCCGAGCTTCACCGAACGCATGGAAGACAACCTCAAATACATGTACCGATCTATGACATTGATTGGAAAGAGCGCGGGGCTCTTCATGGGCTCGCCGAACGGGGAAGGGGAGGAAACCAATTACCCTGGTGGTGGATCCATAGGGCAAATCCCGCACTGTCCTGCTCATGTCTGGATCGAGGAGCAGGCCATGGGCAGCTTCAACTATACCAGGCCTAACTGGAACTTGTGGGCATGCTATGCCAACGTTGACCGCATCTGGTCCGCCTGGGAGGCACAGGGCTGTGTCCATCGCATAGACATCGTTGACCCTGACTTGCTCAAGGCGTATTTCTACTTTTATGACGAGAACCGGCAGATTGTGAGGATAAAGGTTAGGGATTGCCTTGACACGGAGAAATTAGGTTTCAGATATGAGACGGTGGAGCTTAAAAGTGATGTATGAATGTGCTTTTGCGTGTTTATTTTCTTAGGTTTGATAAATGGTTTGACTACAACGCATGGTTAAACTTGGGCTTTATAATGGTATGTTTGTTGTTGTGCGTCTCTTATTTCCAGTAAGAGCATCCCAGATGTTGGGTGTATTTCATTTTCAATAAGTGTGTCATTAATAGTTTTTTTAGTAAAATGTTTATATTATTATGTAAATTGGTGGTTTTTAGGGGACTTATTTTATCTTAGTTTCCTTTAAATTCAAAGGAGTTCAAAAATAAGGATGCACTTGTTAGGGATTGAGAAGGATCATTGAGGATCAGTAACTCCATATCACAAGACTAATCACATGAAAATGAAGTGTATTTGTTGAAAGCCAAAGTGCAGTAGCTAATTATAATAGACTCTCAAGGTTCACTCGCTCAAACTCGAAGTGACACTAACTCTAGTCATTCAAACGCTCACTCTAATTTAGAGGACCACTCGTCCAATTAATAGAAACTATTGCTCATGCTTATATTAAATCAACAACTTCCTCATTAAATCGCCATCCCCTTTTAAAATTTTGTGCCTTATCAATCTAGCTTGTGAGGTCTCTCAATCACTTTCTTGTAGGGCTGTTCCCACAAAATTATCAGAATTCTAACAATTAAGTTAAAAAATACATAAAGGTTTTATCATGTACTTCTCTATTGGACTTTCATATACATGTCAAGTTGCAGCTTTTTTGTAGTGCCTAAAACCCTCGTAAATAGAGGATAAAAGGGCCATTTAAGACGATGATTTGTCTGATCTTTCACATTAGCAATAAGATTCACATGTAGTCTTACTTTCTATTCCCGCTTTTTTTCCCTTATGTTGTCTTCAGAAGAATCTTGTCATCACTGCAATTAAACACAAATCTAACAAATTTGCTACAAGGTCATCAACAAATTTTGTCATCTGACACGTTTCTTGAGGAGTGGAACGAATCTCAAGGTGATTTTTACCAATGAGCGTTCAAGCTTCAATTAAAAATAAATTGAAACTCTAATTTCAACAAGCTTACAGTCAAATTGATCAACTTGTCAAGAAGAACACAATGACACAAATATTGACCCAATCAAAGTCAGATCAAGCCTAGATCAAACAATTAATCTATTTTTGAAAGATTATGGTGTCCAATCAAAAAACGAAATGGATTCAAAATATGACAAGCTAATAGTTAAATCAAGCATCTCAATTAGACAAATCTACCATGCATAAGATCAACCAATTTTAATATTATTTAGGTACTCAATGTCCACAAAATATCATATGATCAATGTGATCTTTCTTGGTTGTCCGATAGAATGACATGCATGCTTTCTTAATCTGCTGGAATGCCTCTCCAAAACTTTATAAATAGAGCACTGCAATTTTCTTGCGAGGGGACCTAATTCATGAACCAAAGGAAGACTAGAGTTTGGACAAGAGGAATTGAGGTCTAGTGTTCTACACCTAAGGTCCAATGAATGCCACTCGCTCTTGCACCTGTTGAACATCATCGAAAATTGCTCATGAAGCTGTCAAACACAGTCGACCATTGCTCGTCCATCATTATTGACTGTCACCACCCCTTCTCGTTGCAACGTAGCCCCTTATACAGTCATGGCGTATGTTGCGGAGTAAGGATTAGCCTTGTGGATTAACAAAACATCCTACGGATAAATGCACTCATAAAATAGTATAAAAATGTAATCAATTTCATTTTTAATACGTCGAATGCTCTTTCAATTACACTAAGTAATGATGCATGTTTCTTGTTAAATAATTCATTCTTTCCTTTAATCACAATGGTACTGCATTCATAATCAGAGATGTGGTACTTCATATCAAGAAAGGACTTTAAGAAACCACATTTTATGGAATATTTAGAACCAATGATGTAATATTTCCCTGAATATTATCACTATTTGGAGATCACTTCAAATTTAATTTTTTTATAAGATCATTAATGAACTAATTGAGGGGCGATATTGGAATTTTATATTCACGTCTGAGTGCTGCAAAGTTAAATTTACGACTATTGTGATCACTCACTTCCCAACATGTCATTAAGAAGATAAAGCATGTGTTGAATTCACGTACTACTAATGTATCCGTGTTGGGGATCCATAATGTGTGATGTTTGATGTATGCAATCATATTGTTCTTTGCAACACGTGCATCGATATGTATACCATCAATCGCTCTTATCTAATCTTGTTTGAAATATTTATGAAGCCAGTTAATTTTTAGTAAAACCTACATGTAAATTAAAAATATAATATAAATGTACATTGAAGAATAACTTGTATGTGTTATCATTATGAATTTCTCTTGGTGTTTACCCAAAAGTGGGATCTATTGGTTTGATAATAAAACATGCATGTTGATATATTAATTTTTTGTGCTTAATTTACTTTTGAATTGGCCTCTTAGAAAGTTAAAATGGGTCATGATCTAGTATTGTAAGAGTATGCTAGTAAAACAATTAAGGTAACATACACTAATCTTTGAGGATATAACTATTGTTGTTAGAATACTGCAATCAGATAGGAAAATTTGGGCACATGGGAGTTTTTGCACGATTTAGGGAACTAAATTGTAACATGAAATCCCAAGGTTATGACCTTAGGAGAGATTAAGAATTAGTGCTGTTGTTGACTATCAATACTAGTAAATGTGATTAGATAATATGGATTTCTTAGGTCCGATTCAAGAGATATTATGTTACTTGAGAGAAAACTTTCATCTCTAATTTAGTTTAGGATTTTAAAAATTAGGATTAGTTACTTTAAAAATTCACCAAAAACATTGACCTTTCAAACTGAGCTTAGGACTAGCAATCAATAACTTTCACTTGTTGTAAGAATTTACGAGTTCCCTATATGATAGATACATGAACTCAAATTTATATATACTTGAGTGACACTTATACTTGCATGATTAATATGTGCTTCTGAGGATTATGGCATCAGGGTGTGAGTAGATATCCAAGGAATTTTCTTGAGCCTTCCCCAAAGGTTTATTATAAGGTGTTGAGCTTCAGGTAAATAAGGTTTTGAAAGTTTTTCTAAATCTTGCATGTGTTGCTCGGGTGATTTACTTTTTATCTAAAGATCGTTTATATAAACTTTAATATTTCTTCATCTTTGATTCACAAATATTATATTGAATAATCGGTGATAAGGGACTAACATTTTTTAGGTTGAACGACATTATATTATAGTAATATAGCACTTCTTCACTTCTATAGTGATGAAAGCAATCTTCTATTCAGATGGAATGCATATTGATTTTGTGATAACCAGAGTATGCGCCTAAAAAGCTCATAACAATGCCTCAGTTCATGGATTTGTCAGATTGAAGACGGGTCAGATATTTTCCGGCATATTTAATATTTGGGTCAAACAATTACAATCCTGTTCAATTTCGAGTCAGATCTATACTGCCCATGAGCCCGATTTGAACCATCCTATTTTAGTAGAAATTTCATAGAGGGGATGACTAAGAATGCCCTCTAACCTTTCCCCAATTTTAATGATTGTTAATTAAATAGCATCTAAGCAACTTCAATAATTCATTTTCTCTTTTGTACAATTAGCTGAAATGATTTTGACTTTTCAATAACTATTTGAAAGTTCAAATAATGAACAGCAAGTGACAGATTTTGGTAGAAATAAAGCAAAAGATGAAAAATTTTGACACGATTTTCTGTTTTAAATGATGTAGCATTTTTTTTCCTATGATATAATGAAGGAACTGACTCTAATTTTTTGGTCATCGATCTTTGAGTATAAAATATTTTTTTAAAACCGTAAGTTATTGAGTATCAAATTGTATTTTTTTATATAAAATATACAAGTTGTAGGAGAAGATAACAAATAACATTATGATTTACCTTATGATAATAATAATAAAGCGTTGCTTCATAATTTATGTTAGATGTGTTGGAGAAATTGAGTCATGTTTGTGAAATGGATATTATCATTCATGATCTAAAACGATAAAAAGTAATCATTATGCATAAAGAATTTCAAGAGAAGTTTTACCAAATAAAAGCAAATTTACATGTCAACCTTCCCTAGAATAGAATGGAGCTTCACTGTCTTCCCATTCTAAGATGAGGGCTTAAAGTTCAACATGCATGCACGATCTCACCTTATGCAGTTCAAATCCGAACCTCTGCTGTTTGAAGCAATTTCATGGCGGTTTCTTTCTTCGAACATCTAGCGTCGGGTCTCGTCCGCACCAAAAGAACACGCTTACTCCAGAAGTCTATTCATTGAACATGTTTTTAGAAGAAATATATTCAAAATGTAAAATAGCTTTTTATTATTATTATTATTATATATATACATAATTGATGTATGCCAAAATATTCACGGCGGCGGCAGAGTAACGGATATCGTTTAAGCGTTGTACGAGAATTGTGCACACACTCCGATGAAAAGGAACAAACAGTGACGACTCCAGAAGTTTTTACGTGGAAACCCGTAAAGAGAAAAACCACGGAGTCTGACCCAATTGTGAAAATTTATTATTGATTGATGATTACAGAAATCATTTGTCCCACATACAATAAATAATAATTATATTTTCATGTTACAATGTCGACTACGACTTTTAGTTGGTGGTGATTGACGATAATTGGTGGTGTAACTCTTAAAAATTAATTGATAATATCAAAATTAGTCACACTCAACTCAGTAATATATAGTCATGGTATCACTCTTAAAAATTAAATCGATAATAAACAAATTCTTATGTAATTTCTTAGATTAAAAAAAAAAAGACATAAATTTCAAACACTTAAAATTTTCTTAAAGGCCATATAAGCTTCCCTGAGAAGTAAGTAATAGTTTAAAAGGTGACAAAGGAAAGTCACTTGGTTCCAAGCATGTTTGTCCAACCCTTGATCTTCCACCATTGACTTCTTGTCGGTGATCACCTTCTCTTCTAATCAATTTTTAAACAAATTTAATATTCAATATTTATATTCTCTACAAAACATATATAATTTGACTCGAGCTTTTGGTTTATTGTAGTATGTCTTATTGGATTAAAATATAATAAACATCTTTCTCCCATCACCAAACATATCATGAGAG